TTTGCTTATTCACCAGCTTTGTCTTCAGCAGTTGTGTAGGGAAGGTGAGCATCATAGAATGCCAATTTAATAGAACAAAGTATTCTGCATTGAGGGAGTACTTGAGTGGAGGCCCAATTTGACATGATTTCTTGCCAGATTTTTCTAAGGTTTTATAAGAATGTGCCTAAACGTTTTCAATGTTCACTTTTATAGTTTATACATATTATTGCAAGACTTGCCTTTAATCATTTTCCTCTGTTCTCTTTTTAATAACTGACGCGTAACTGGTTCTTCTACCTTTGGAATGCACTTATTTCTAGCCTCTGTTGTGGGGTAAAGCATTGAACTGCTCCTCCTAAGGTTCAAACCCACCAGTCACTCCAGTGGAGAATGATGAAGCTGTCTGCTCCCGTGAAGATGTACGGGGTTGAGAACTGGTTGGGGGGATCATCATTCCTTACTTGTGTTTCTCAAGCTGCAGCTGCACGGAACGCAACAGTATTGATCTGATTCTGATGGGACTGTATGTCAAACCCTTCTGAACCTCTGATCCCTTTGGGCACTTTGCTTTGTGTTGAATACCAAGTAAAGAATAAATAATGTTGAATGGAAATATTTAATTGCATGAGATAGTATATACTTGATTCTTATTATATTTATCTTTCTATGAAAACACTTATAGGGTAATTTAAAACTCATGGTGACCCATAGGACAGGGTAGAATTGCTCCTGTGGGTTTCTGAAACTATTAACTCTTTGCAAGATTAGAAAGCCTCATCTTTCTCCTGCAGAGTGGGTTGGTGGTTTCAGACTGATGACCTTGCGGTTGGTTGTCCAATTCATAACCACTATGTCACTAGGACTCCTCAATTAAAAAAAAAAAAAGGCATCCTTTATTTAACTTTGCATTCTTAGTGTATGTTCAGCAGGCATTAGCCACTCTATGAATTTTTGATGAATAAATTCATTTTTGCTGATAGAGATAGACTCCTTGCTGAGAAATGTCAGTACTAAGATGTCCAGCCTTGACGAAGAATCATTAAGTGTATTTGTTGAAATTATTGTTGCTAAAAGAGTATAGATGGTCGTGCCATAAGGCTTTGTGAGTTGGAGTCAGACCTTCCTGGAGTGGGTCCCCAGAATTGCTCTCAGGTGTCCACCAAACTGAAACCAAATTCACTTCCAGTGAGTCTTTTCTGACTCATAGTGACCATATAGGACGGAGTCAAGCTGCCTCTGTGGGGTTTCTGAGGAGGTTCATTTCTATGGGAACAGAAAGCTGGTGGAGCAGTTGGTTAGCATTCAAACCATGCCTCCTTCCTGGTTTCCACAGGTGACCTTAAAATGAGAGCTAGAAAGTGGAGCTAAGTGGGCATTGCTGGGTTGAAATGAAAGCCAGGTAGCCAGCCTAATCTTGTTCTGTGTTGCATGGCTAAGCTTTCCTCACATTTGCAAAGGTAAGAGGGATAACTTTGCATGATTAATGAAGGAGAAATATAACAATTTCTCTGGTTTGGAAAGATGGAAGTGAAATTATGTTGGGAACCCTAGCAACAGTATAGCTATTCCCTGTTACTGATTACTTATTCCCAGTTTTTGGAGTAATTTTTAGAACTGGGTACCAGTCACTGTTCTGGAGCACTGGATACAATTCTGGATGCTGATTATACAAACCACTGTTGTCAAGCCAATTCTGACTCCTGTATAGCGATCCTAGAGGACAGAATAGGCTGCCACACAGGGTTGCTCAGTTTAAATCTTTATGAAAGCAGACCACATGTCGTTCTCTTCTGGAGTGGCTGCTGGGTGTGAACAGTGCCCTGGTTGGCAGCAGAGCGCCTTAACCACTGTACCACCAGGGATCCTCATGCTATTAAAAATAAACCAAACTCAACTATCATTTGGTTGATTTCTACTCATAGTGACCTGTGGATGGAGTAGGACAACGCCTGTGGGTGTCCAGGACTGTAAGTCTCTTCAGAAGTGGAAAGCCCCATCTTTGCTGCAGAGCCACTGGAGGTCTTGAGCTGCTGACCTTGCGGTTAGCAGCCTGACACACAACCCCCTGGACCATCAGGGCTCTGTGTTGATTATAGTATGTGTAAATACCGAGCACTAATTATGTTTATAGATTCTTTTTAGCGTCTTTACAAGTTTTGATATTGATTCTTCCAGGTTCTTCAGATAGATCCTGAAGTGACAGATGAAGATATAAAAAAGAGATTTCGGCAGGTACACTATCATTTCTAATAGAGTTTGAATCTTTTAGAAATGTGCTCAGCACATGATTTTTTTCAGGACTTGGTACTTTGGGGCCAAAATGTAACTTTTTTGGGTAATTGTTCTTTCAAAAAACAACAGTGATTTAAAGTCTTATGTAATTTAAGAAGCATATGTTTTCGGTGACTAGAATGAATTCTGTATCTAAATAGAATCCCATTAGCCCCTAAGTAAGAGGGAGAAGCACAGAGTAGAACGGCAGCACTGGCTGAGAACCATCATGAATCGAATCCCCTGACTTATAGTAGTAGTTGTTGTTAGGGGCCATCTGGTCAGTTACACTCATAGCGAGGCTGTATACAACAGAAAACATGTCAGGTGATTCCTCAGCCCTCCCTCAGTTTCATCTTGGGTTAACTAAATGAATACCCTATGAGATAACTGGTTTGAGATAGAATTGCCCCCCGCCCCCTTTTAAAATATAGAATACTTTTTATTGTGAATTAGGTGGGTGTCTATGTTTCAGAGAATCATTTTTATAGGCTAGCTTTTGAAGGTTGTCCAGCCAGGAGATGCACAAGCTCTGATCTTTGCCTGTTTAATAACTTGAGTCAGAAGTTTAATGAAAAGCTTTTGTAAAGCCCTTCTAGTTTTGAAAACTGAGTAACCATTAGCCTTGTCTGTTTTGTTGAACAACCACACTCCCTCAAGTCTGGTCTTCCTGATTACATTTCCATTTTGGTCACTCTCCCTCATTTCTGTGTCTCTCTTAGGGGCTTCATATTTTAATAGGATCTGACCAGAGCTGAGTGTAACTCAGCTCCTGCAAGAGATGCTTGTTAACATCCATTGTTAGGCTTGCCCTCTTCAAGACATTTGTTTCCCTCGCATTGCTGACTCCCATTCATCTATGATCTGCCATTAAGCCAACGTGTTTTTTGATTTTTGCCTACTCAGTCATTTTCCATTATATAACTTTATAGACCTTTTTCTTCCTGAGTCCTACTCTACACAAACGTTCAGCTTTTTCCTTTTTCTAGAATTCCCAGTTTCCTAATGGGATGCATTAGCAGTCTTTCTCAATTTAATAAGCAAGCATTCAAACTCATGGTCAACACAGCTTTCTCTGCAGCTCCATAGAGTTAGGGTTCCTAATACAGCCTCATGGTTGAGAGTGTAGGCATGGGAACTAAACCCTTGCCGTCCCACTGACAAGCAGTGTGGCTTTGGACAAGTTCCTTTCTACCTTTCTGTGCTTGTTTAGTCATCTGGAAAAAGATGCATCCTAATGGTGTGTGGTCCATGGGGTTGGTGACAGGCTTTGGTGAGGTCATCTGCAAAGAGCACTGAGAACAGGTCTGATTAGCACAGAGCTGGTGTGTCCTCAGCCTGTGCTGCCTGTTGTTAGCATCTATTAGTCACTGTCGAATTTCTTCACTTGCATCCTCTCAGGGAGATGGGGTCCTATTTACAGAGGAGGAAACTGAGGTGGAAATAGGCCATGTGAGTTGCTCAAGGTCTTGCAGCCAGTAAGTAATTGAAGTTGGCATTTGAACAGGATTCTGGCTCCATTCAGGCCCAACTTGGCATCAGGTTCCCATTTGTTGTCTTCTCCAGACACGGTTCACTATCTTTCAGTTGGTTGGTTTCTGCCTGTCAGTGGTTCTCAGCCCTAACTGTGGGACTGAAAAAATACTGATGGGAACACCTTAAACATTTTTTTTATTATGGAAAGTTTTAGTTACAGTTTTAAAAGAAAGAATAGAAAAATAAACACCCGTATTATCCACCACCTATATCCAGCAGTTTACTCTATGAACTATATATTTTTGGCTGCTTTATACATGACATATCACCACTAAGGGCTTGAGCTTGAAGATGCCTGGGTGGTGTAGTGGTTAAGCACTCCGCTGCTAACCAAAGGTTGGTGGTTCAAGCCCATCAGTGACTCTGTAGGAGGAAAGACCTGATGATCTGCTTTCATAAAGATATAAAGATGATAGCCTAGTAGACCCTGTGGGGCAGTTCTACTCTGTCCTATAAGGTCACTGTGAGTTAGAAAAGACCCCACCATGCACACTGCAACCAACACTTTAATGAGTATCCTCTCAAAGTAAAAGGTAGTACTTTCTTGCATAATTTATCACATCTTACTATAACCCTGTATTAAACCACCAGGTTGATTCCGACTCCTGACGACCCTTTATAGGGTTTCTGAGACCATCAATCTTGTCAGGAGCAGACAGCCTTCTCTTTCTCACCAGTGGAATGGCTGACTGCCCAGTGCCTAACCTGCAGTGCCACCAGAGCTCCTTATGACCCAGTCTAGTTGTAGTTTAAAAAGGCCAGAAGCAGGAGGTGCCACTGAAACAGTTGGTCAGAGGGGCAAGGGGGCAGGCCTCTGTTTTTAAAAAGACTCAGCGGGGAGCCCAGCTGGAGCCGCAGAGACTTTTTGTTAGAAGGTCTTTAAAGGAAAGACATGCTGGCCTGCTTTGTACCTTTTTGTGCTCAGAATCAGAGACAATAGGAAAGTAGTGCATTTCCCCTCCCTGTCACCAGATTAGCATAGAGCCTCCTTTGTGATTGCAACCCTAAACGTTGCTCCCTTGTGTGTGCACCTTTTAGAACTTGAATTTTGCTAAACACTAGTGTTTTGGTTCATGAGAATTACTTGTTTTTTAATGTTGCTAGCTGACAACTCCCTCTACCCCAAGAGTACCCCTAGTACCTTGATTGTTAAGGAGACCACAGTGCAGGCCAAGAGTTACTAAATGTTCTTTGTATTGACAAACCTAACCTGGTTCTGATTGTAGTTGTCGATATTGGTGCATCCTGACAAAAACCAAGACGATGCTGACAGAGCACAAAAGGCTTTTGAAGGTATTTGTACATTTACCTGCTTATAAGTAATATGTTGTTTTCCATGCTAGAGACTAACTGTCCCTTGTCCTAGATCAAAAGAGGAGTGGTCTCATTTTACCTTCTGGTCATAAAGAAGCTGTGGTTCTCAGTAGCATAGTTGTCATTCCAAATCAGACTGTTGCTGTTTAAGCAGTAGGCCTTAAATTAACTTTGCTGTGTAAAACGTTTATATGCCAATAGACTCTTAACTGCATTGGGTTTCCCCCTGAACATAAATATTTGGAACTATTTTATCACTGCATTCAATCTTGACATAGTGTATTTAGTCTTGTATGTATGTAGATGTAATTTCTCCAAGGCTCTTAAATAACTCATTGCTAGAGCTGTCTGTAGATTCATTTAACAATAGTCCATGACAAAGGAGGGGATGCTTTTAGATGGCACAGGCCCATGTACCCTGCCTGAGTATAGTTCAGACTTTCAGAGGCTGTTTGCAGAAACAGTTAATTTCAATGTTTTGCATTAGCTGTGGACAAAGCTTACAAGTTGCTACTGGATCAGGAACAAAAGAAGAGGGCCCTGGATGTAATTCAGGCAGGAAAAGAATACGTGGAACACACTGTAAGTATTGATAGTGCTGCTGTGTTTACAGGAAGTACTAGCAGCTTTTGGGCAACTTGGTAGGAGGAGGGTGAATGTTGGCCTAGCAGTGTCTACTGGCTTAACTGGTGGCTGCTTCTGTGGGCTTCACCACGTTCTTATGGTGGTCAAGAGTCGTGTGTGGCTGTCTGGGTGTAATTGGCCCCGAAAGCTCAGGGAGAAGTGTGGTGGGGCCCATGTCCTTTTTAACTTTGTAGCCCCGTGTCTTGGAGACAGGGCTTTCTTTGCCCTCTTGTCACCTATTGCCACGTCACCCCCATTTGGAGAGTGGGAGAGTGGATGTGTCCTTTAACCCTCGGTTTTGAATCTTGTCCTTACGAAGTGGACAGATGGGCTTTGAGGAAGGCTGAATAATATATATTTTTAAATTTTATTGGGGGCTCGTTCAATTCTTATCACAATCCATACATACATCCATTGTGTCAAGCACATTTGTACATTTGTTGCCCTCATCATTTCAAAACGGAATACTATTTAAGAGAACTGTCATCAGGGTTGAGAAGGACCCTAGAAAAGAAATTCCATTAGCTGACCACATTGCCTTTTGCTCCTGAGGGCATTACTTAAATCTCCCAGGTGATGGGAAATGGTAAAGGTGGGCTGCTTGAGGTAAGAAAAATCTTTGTTTATATTTTTAACTTATTGGGGCACGAATCTCAAGGCTCTTGATGAGATTCCCTCTCAGAGTCAGTAGGATTCTTCACTGGGTGAGAGTGTGGGCGCTCGGAGCCTTTCCTTTGAAGAGCTGTAGAGCCCGGGGTAGTGCAGGAAATGGCTAAGAAGAGGACAGAGTGGGCCATAAGATAGTAGGCCGGTTGGGTGTTGACGTGGCAGCACTTACGGGCCCATCTTTGGTAGAAACCTGAAAAATGCTTGATAAGTACTCTTTAAATCATTGTGACAAAAATACCTGTAGGTATTTTGCCTCTTGACCACAAGGTGGCAGTAGGGCCTTTCTGAGCTTTTTACTGGTGTAAAAACCCATGGTTATTTAATGGAGTACTGTCATTCTGTTGTGAATGGGTGAATTTAATAAAATAAAATGAAAAAATCTCAGTGGTGACCAAAGTTATGGAAACATCAGTAATGTGATTGTGAGTTTAAGGGAGCGCTTGTGGGGGAAATTGTAAGACTACAATTGTAGAAATGCTAAACAGAACAACAACAAAAGAAGCCCAAATACGGCTTAAACATAATGGCCCAGATTCTGGATCTGCTTCTAAAATTTGACAGAATATATTGGCTTAGCTGTATACATATGACTGCAAGCGGCAAACGATAAGTGGTTAATCTGTTCAATCTATCAAAGGCGCTTTGGATCTGACATAGGACCTGAGGAGTTGGGGACCAGCTACCTTCTTGATAGATTGGCTTTTAGATGGGGCTAGAGAAAAACCCTTGGCTCACAGCTTTTCTTGATCATGTTGATGTTTTGGGGTGGGAGATGAGGGAGCTTACTGTAAATTTTATGTTATATTCTAACGTGCCTTTAGAAAAGTACACATATATATAGATCATGATGTATACTTACATTCTCAAACTGTGGGTGCTAATTTTTTTTGACAAAAAACTTTTTTGTTTTTTGTTTTTTAGGTGAAAGAGCGAAAAAAGCAACTGAAGAAGGAAGGGAAACCCACAAATGTGGAGGAGGATGACCCCGAGCTGGTGAGTGAGGGTGAGAAAGTCACCCTTACCTGCAGTGACTGGCCTAACCGATTGGTTGGCTAAACAGAGAATCATCAGGAAGGATATATTTGTACCCTCAACATTTTATTTTAATGTAGAACATCTTCATCTATGTTATATTCACCTCTCCCGTGCGCGCGCATGAGTTGAACGATAGCTTTTTCTTTTTTAGTGTGGGTCTCTTGATTGAGATTATCCGTGGACTTACTTTATCCATGATCACACCCCCACCCCCACCCCTGCACACAATTATAGAAATTATCTATAGTTTCTGCTTTTCAGGTGTATTGGAGAGTGCTTAGGATACAAACTAAGAGCAGAATCCCAGGTACTGGTGATTCCGACCCCTTCGCCCTGCAGGTCTTCTCCAGATACCTCATCTGTACCAGTTTGAACAGCAGTTGTTTTTAGGGCCTCATTTTTATGGAATCTTGCAAAAGCATTCCACTTAGCTTTCAAGAAAACAAGTTTTTGTAACCATATTTATCCATTTCTGTGTCAGTTAAATGACATAACTACAGCAGTAATTGCAACTGGCATAAATGCTTTGCGAACAGCCCCAATTGACTGTTGGTGAGTAGTCAGCTCCAGACGATGCTTTCCTGGTGACATAGGGCATCTGGGCTAATCCAGTGAGTAGTTTGGGGAGATTGGTTAAGGGTGATCCTATTTAGATCTTTGCATATAATTACCTCACTAGCCTGAAACATTTACAGTCATCGCAATCTGATCACAGTCTAGTCAGTGTGTAACTTGGTCCATGAACTTAACCTCTTACTGAAGATCTCTAAAGGACAGAGAGCCTGGCTAGGGAAATGTGCTTCTTGCCTCAGTGATTCTGTGAATGGGGATCTGTCTGTCTCATCTTTGGCGGTCCCGCTGTTGGAGACACAGTAGGCCTTCCCACTAGCCACTTCTTGGGGGTTAACTGTCCTTTAGCGTTTTCTTTTTAGTCCAGTTTTTCCTTTCACTTCATTGCCCTCTTCAGTCTTTTTTGAAGACTTTCAAATGTTCCTCGGTCTTCCTCAGTTGATAATTATCTTCCTTTATTGGACGTCTTTTCTCTGATTGGACAGGAACATTGGCTAAGATAGGAAAAATTTAAAAAGCAGAAAAACTTAAAAAATGAAAATCTCTTGTAACCATCTGTCTCGCTTTTAAAGACAGCGAAATAGTCTTTATTGACACCTTGATCCCTCTGGTGTTTGTCCTTATAAGGGACTGGGGTGGGTCCCCACGGCTTTCACTGAGTAGTACCTAAGGTGACCACATTAAAGAGAAGAGACAGACAGATACATTTGTGTGAGCGTCTTACGTAAAAGTTTCCACGGCAAATTAGGATCCCACATAACAGTTGATATACAGATTGTTTTGTGACATGTTACAATTTTTACAATGCTTCAGCATTCTGATTATTCCCATTCTGTTTGTTTTGTTCCCATCAGTCTGGCTTCCCTTCATTGCCTTCTTACCTTTGCTTTTGGGTAAATGTGGACTGTTTGCTCTCATCTAGACTATTGTTTAAGGGAGCACATCACTCCAGGGTGAAATTGTTTATTAGATCAGCTAATTGATTACTTGGCTCAAAGACAACCTTCAGGAGTGGCTTCAGTTCCAAGCGTGATAGTCTTGGGTTCTCTCAGTCCAGTAAGTCTGGCTTTTTTCTTTTTTCAAAGGAATTTGAGTGTTATGCTATAACATTCACTCCGCTTGGGACCTTCTATGCAGCATACTTGAATACGTACCTGGAATGCATTTACCTGCAGACACATCTGTGCAGGCGCGCACATGTACTCAGACATGCTTTCTTTTCTTTCTTTTTTAACATTTTATTAGGGGCTCATACAACTGTTATCCCAATCCATACACACATCAATTGTGTAAAGCGCATTTGTACATCG